TCCCGTGTCGACGATTTTGCAGAGTGGGGCTATCTTGACTTGTCGGTAATGTCCTGCTGCGATTGTGAGAAGGCTTCCTATCAACGACAAATGAGCAACAAAAATCGTGGTCCACTATAGGTAACGAGGAGATCATCTGCTGACCTTAAAGCAGGGCCGGCCAAGAAGGGACTAGGAAGAAGATTCACCGCAAAAACGACGTCAGCATGAAAAACTGGCTGAGAAGAACATCCAAAATACTGCTAAGCATTAGTATCTGATGAATCCTGTGAGATAGCTCTTATTCCGAGGGCAGACACCGAAGCTGCGAAGGACGTCATAGTGGAGAAGTCCAGGAGACTGCTCTCTGCTGTCAGCCTTTTAGAAAACTCCGGAATCCATGGGAAAAATTTGGAAAAAACGGGAACAGTCAGAATCATCGAGATGTGTTCTCCACGGCTAACGATAAGCCCAGAAGAAGGCAAGCGAAAACCAGAAGCTAGGGTTCGAAGTCAGTAGCCTGGACCTAGAGGCGCTACACTCGTCGTTGTTGATAGACCCATCGAACATTGATTCCGATTCTCAGAACTTTACTTCGAGAGGCACAATCTACAGCTCTTCCAGGAAACTGGAAGCTTGTGTCCTGCCTAGAAGCGAACGTTTCGAACTATACCGCGGAGCGTTTTTTTTTTAAAAGATTTCAAAACATTCTTCGAGCGAACAACTAGCGGACCATATTTTGTAGCCATCCTGTACATGTCCATAATCTATAGCATTTATTTGAGGGACAGAGCAGAGGTGAAGGGCGCAGTTCGGCTTGAGATGGGAGGGGTATTTTGCGTTTTGCACTAGTTCTCGTCGAGGTGTCTAGTCATCAACTGGAGACCTGTGAAATTTCGTAAAGGCATGGTGTGATATGATCAAATTTTGTAGAAACTGCAACTCTTGTAAAGCGATGAACAGGGCTCAAAATGTCCCCCCCCCTCCTAGCCGAACTGCGCCGCAGTAAGTTGTAAAATCATCGAACTCACATTCTCGTGATACCAGATGACATTTGGTTTCGGTTCACCAACAACCTTGCATTCAAATGTAACCTTCTCATTGGTCATAGTAGATTTATCTTGTAGTTGGACAATAAACTCAGGAGCACGTTCTGGTACTTTATCGAGGGTTTCTGAAACAAATCAGTACTGTTTTCGTACTCATTCCAAAAGTGATCTAATAGTAAAATTATCTACCCACCAACAACAGTCAGTGTTGCTTCGCATCGATCTTGTCCGGCAGTGTTCTCAACAATTACAGTGTACTTGCCGGCATCTTCAGGACGTACATCATCTGCAAATGTTTGAATCTTGAAACTCTCTTTAGTCGTGAGTAGAGGGAGGGGGCATGTACCCACCGATGATAAGTTCATGGGCGACATGTCCCTCGATTGTTCGAGTCTGGACACGAATTCGGGCAATGAGCTCAATTTCCTTGCCGTCTTTCAGCCTGAAACGGGTAGTACTTTGACAAGTGGGACTTATCACTTAGACCTTACCCATTTACAGCACACGCCCTTCGTGTCTGGGACAACACATTCGAAAATGGCCTCGTGACCGCGTTTAGCCCTCGAGTCCTTGATTTTCGTGATGAATTTCGGTGCCATTACTGGTGTAGGCGTTCGCACCAAACTCTTCACGAAGCGATTCCTCGTCGGTTAGTGTCATATCGTCTGCGATTACCTGGACAAATAGGATATGAAAGGCCGAACAAAATCAATTGAAATCAATAATCGATCTCACATCTTCCGCTTGTGCTTCGGATTCGCTCTCACTGAACATCTCGCTGGTGTAGGTGACCATATTTGCGGTGCAGGACACCTCACCGGCATCGTTTTCGGCCTTTAATTGACTTTGTTAGTTAAGTTCCTGTATAGATATTTTTAAGGCGGTTTGGTGTATTATTTAGACTTTGCGGCCATATCTTCACCATCAGGGCTCGATTTTTTTTCGAAATTTGCCTTTGGAAATAATTTGTCCCTGAGCAGGAATGTCAGCGAATGGTCTGAGGCTTTCGGCCTCGGCGCCAGAAGTTTTTGCGAGATCTCTCAGAGGAAGTAGGCATGATTGCTGGAGGCGGCTGATTGTTACCTGCGTGGTTTGCGGGCGCGTTGCGAGAGGGAATTTGGCCACAGCCCTTCAACCAATGACGTAAGCGACAACCGCCCGCCCCCAGTGATCGTGTTAATGCCTTTGACTTCAGATAGCTGGGAGTGAATGGCAAACGATGTCTGCTGGAAATGTCAGAGATACCTTACCTTACAAATGATTTCTCCCACATGAACATCAGGATTGAAGCTGTTGATGGTCAGTGTGGAGGTTTTGTCATCGGTGACGATGGAAATTTCTTTGGAATTTGTCACTTCCTTGTTGTTGATATACCATGTCAGCGTCGGCTTCGGGTCTCCAGTGAAAACGACCTGAAGTTCTCACATGAAGGAGAAACCCAGGAGAATTCACAAGGAAGATTTCTTGGAAAACTGATAAGTACCCACCTTATGCACGACTTTCGTGTCTTTTCGGGCTCGAACGTTACTTAGCCATTCGAGGAAATCTGGCGGTTCACCACGAGGCAACACCAATAGCATAGCCTCACTTGACGCCTTACCGTATTCATTGACAGCTTCGCACACGACCTGAAATTGTGGCTAATTGAAATCCCTTTGAATGACATTGATGTCCCTGAGCTACTGTAGCTCTATTTGTTTTTTGGGCGAAGTGGTGTAGTTGCAGCTAGCCCGCTTACCATGATCCATGATTGAAGTGCCAGATGGGCTCCCGGGAAAACCAAGCTTTCTGCCCTCAGGTGACGGTACATTCGTATCCGACTCGTGCACAGTCCATGGTGGTCATATGGGCGGAGCTAGGCTAACCGTTGTGGTGGCTTCCTAGAGAGCGTTTTTTCCTATGAAATATATAGACACATCGGTGTATCCTATAGAAGAGATGACGAGGAAGCACTGTGTGGAAAGCACAACGGTGTGTCCAACTCCGCCCAGACAACCAACGTGGACTGTACAATCGTGGTCCTCCGGGTCCCCAAAGCCCCATCAAAGTAGAGAAGTTGATGACTCGTTTGTTTGTTTACTTTCGGAACCAATTTGTTATTTTGTTGTTTTCCTCTGTATTATTTGCTTACCTTTCCGCTGTAATCACAGGTGATATCCTTGATGGTGACGGTGTACGTGCCTTTTTCGGAATGGATCTTGATGTTCTGAGATTCTTCCAATTTCTTGCCGTTGACGAACCTGAACAGCAACTATTCCCAGTAACTCTCTAAAAAAATCGACAAATATTTTTTTCACGCCTAGTGCTTTCAAAGCTGCCGGAAATCCCATATTTTGGGTAATATAAATATTCGAAAAAAAACTAACCATGACACCACTGGGGTAGGCTCTCCAAGAAGAACTGCCTTCAGCTTGAGCGTGTCACCTTCACGGCATGTCGCATCACAGAGCGATGTTTCGAACTCGACAGGAATCGGTGCTACAACCTTCAGCGGTCCTTCGGTTGATACTTCGCCCATCTTAAACAGAGCGTAATTAACATCACTTCAGATTTACACCGCCTCAGTTTTATACTACATAAAGTCTTGTCTGCTGCAGACGATGAGGCGCGTCAGGAATCTGGCTCTGGCGCGGCGCCAGCCCATTCTCGCCAGTTGTTGAAGAAGGTAAGCGACAACAATTAGTGGAAAGCCTTCTGGCGCCGCGCCAAACCCAGTCCTCCTGGCACGCCCCGTCATCCGCAGCGAACAAGACTGTAACCCCGGTTCGAAAGAATGACTCACCTTATTGTAAGCGACACATTTGATTTTTCCAGTCATGTCAGCAGTGACTCCATGGATCGTGAGGGAATAAACGCCATCAGCGTTCTTGATCTCGGTGTCTTCTGTCTCACAAACCAACTAAAAAAATAAACAATAGCCTTCCCGTGAAAGAGCTACTGCCGGCGCTTTTCAGCTTTTGGGAGGGGCATTTTGCACCTTCGCTAGCTCCTTTGGCTAGTTCCTTTCAAATTGCACATCACACCTTGGTAAGACCTGTGTACTCCTGTCAAGTGTAGATAAAACTCCTGCTATGGCACAAGCTTAACCAGGAAATTTACAGCGTCCTCACAAGTGGCCATTTGCCAGTGAATCGATGGGAACCAGCCCAAAATGCCCCCACTGAAGCCGAACGCGCCGTTTTTGGTATTTAAAAATCGAGGTCACCTCGACAAAAATCTTTTAGCAAATTTTCAATGCTCACCTGATTGTTGACGTACCACTTAACGAATGGTGTCGGATCGCCAGTAATGAGAAGTTTGGTCTGTAGTGAGTCACCCTCGGTCAGATTGATCGGAGCAATATCGCTTTGGAAGGCTGGCTTCGCCATGGGACGCTTCTTGACCACTCCCAATGAAGCGGAGCATTCTGGAAAAGTCATTGGTTATCAATAAAACGGCTCACTCTTTCAACTAGTATGCGATAAGGTGAAGAGAATTCCAGTTGCGGCCACGCAGAAAAAGTAGTTCGGGGAGGCTACATTTCCTGGCTAGTCGGGGGGGGTGTTGAAGGCAAAGGCACGATGGCGGGGCCGCGGCGGCTGTTGCCCACGTCATTGGTGGAGGGGTTCAGTGAGGTGTAGCTAAACGCCTTCTCGCAACCCTTCCACCAATGACGCTGGCAACAACCGCCCGCCTCCAGCAATCAGCGGCCTTTACTGTCTTTTAATGTATATGCCTTTGCGTCTATCAGTTAGGTGGCTACGCGGCACGGTGCCACTTTCAAGGCAACTTTCGCCGAGCTGCCGCCAACTGATAATGAGCGCGCGGTGTCCAACTACGGTTTAGAGCGCTTACTCACCAGCAGTTCCAAAGTAATTTTCTGCTTTGATGGTAATTCTGCATTTGTCTTCCATAGCTGTCGAGATGATTTTCAGTTGAAGTGTACCGTCATCGGCTTGGGTCAGCACAAAGTGATCATCACCGCTGAACTCTTTGCCGTCGCGTAGCCATGTCACTGTCGGTTTCGGTTTCACCTGCAGTAACGTTAAGATTCAGAGACTCGAGAGTTTTGACACTTCACAGAAATCTTTTACCTAATTTACCCTTTGTACGCCCCAGCCACTCCCAAATCAGCCGCCCGCGGTTCCTGACCGACTTTTTTCTCCGTGGGCAGAATTCGCTGAAAACTTGCTCCCAGGGGTAGTTCGACCCGCTGAACACGAATATCGCATCCGCTTGAACCGCCGCCCGGGAAAAAACCCCTCCTGGCGCCCGCGCCACGGGCGCCGGCGCCAAAATACTCGAAATCACCAAATTCGCTGAAAACTTGCTCCTAGGGGTAGTTTGACCCCCTGATCACGAATACCACTTCCATATTGCATGAAAAAATGCATGACCAACGCTTCTTCGAAAATCCCGCGCTCGCCCAGCTTTCACACGCAAGCTCGTGGGAAATGGGATTTCCCACGGAATCGTGTGGGAATTGAGTGTTTCTCGTGGTGACGTCTTCAAAACTGACCTATTAACTTGGAAACTGACCTATTAAGAGCGAATACTATTTCTCATGCAAGATAAATGTGAAATTCGTGTTCACATGGTCAATTTACCCTAGTTGACAAACTTTTTCAGCAGTTAGTGATCAGAGTATTTTGGCGCCGGCGCCCGTGGCGCGAGCGCCAAGAGGTTTCGGGTCAAGCGGATGCGATATTCGTGTTCAGCGGGTCGAACTACCCCTGGGAGCAAGTTTTCAGCGAATTTGGTGATTTCGAGTATTTTGGCGCCGGCGCCCGTGGCGCGGGGGCCCGCCAGGAGGTTTCGGGTCAAGCGGATGCGATATTCGTGTTCAGCGGGTCGAACTACCCCTGGAGCCAACTTTTCAGCGAATTCTGCCCACGGAGAAAAAAGTCGGTCAGGAACGGAGGGCGGATTTCAATGACTGGCCGGCAGTAAAGGGTATAATAGTGCCGAAATCTTTTACCTCATTGAGTTTACGCCTCCACTTATGGTGCGTGACTTCACCTTTCCGTAACGAGGCGATCTTCAAGGTTCTTTGAGAATGTTGGCGCTTCACCTACTCGCTTCACGTTCAATTGCACATTCTGCTTCTTCATACCACTGCTATTCGACGCCTGTAAACCAGAATCATAGGAAACATTGGGAGCCTCTGAGTGGGTACTGTAAGGATACTGTAGCGAAAATGGTAAGTAGCAACCCTACCTGACATGACAATTCACCAGCTTGCTCTGGCGTGATCTCCTTAATCTCGATGGTGTGTTTAGGGCCATCGTCGCTAACAGCGATGTTTCTGTAAGGAAAACCATTGATCGTGGGGCCACGGAAATATATATATATATATTCTCAGTGAATGTAGGACTGCAAGGCCTTATCGTGACTACCAACCTTCAGGCCTTTGCCAACGCCACTTTTTTTTGTTTAAATAACTTGATGTTTTAACGTTATAGTGCGGAGTTTTTTTGCGCAGACTTTCGGAAAATTTTCCGAAATATCGGAAACAGCTGGGAAAGGGAGAACAATTAGCGCCGGAAACTTCCCTCTTCGGTACGACTGGCGCCTCACGTCTTTTCCCGTATCCGGTCCTGCGGTCAATTCCAAACCCTCACTCACTCTCCTCTCACTTTCGGGGTGTTCTCAGTTTTCACAAAGCTTCCTTTTCAAAGGCGCATAAAATGTCCTGCCAATCGTTACCCACATGCCAAAACCAAGAACGACCCCCCCCTCCCTCATAGCCTGCGTTAATCCCCCACTTAGGCAGTGTGTAGCCCTGGTTCGTGTACCATTTCTCTTTTGGCCTGCGTAATTATTCTCGTAAATTCCAGGGCACACCGACGTTCCCTTTTCCCTGGACCCTTTTTTTGCGACAACCCGAGATGAAAAGGTTTGAAGCGGTATGAGTTACGAGTACGCTCGAAATTAGGAGCTTAAGCCACGGCTCTGGGCCCCGGAGACAGCCACTGACCGCCTGATTTTCCCACAATATTAAAGTCCGCGCGCGGTGGCCTGGTTCGGCGTGGCGACCTCGAATGGGACTCTCTACCGTCTCTGAAACTGAAGCACTTACGCGTGTTTGCTGACTGGTTCGCCATTGAGCAGCCATTCTACAGTTGGTTCTGGATATCCTTCAACGGTTGATGTGTACTTGACGGTGTCACCTGAATTTTTTGGGAGAGATGGAGGGGGGGTAAGAGTTCAAATGGGGTTTTAAAAACTTTAAAACCCTTGACCCAGGGCGGTAGCCAAGAAATGAGAATAAAAATTCGATGGTACGGGTGCGGATTTTCTTTGAATGGGAAAGTCCATGGTGACTATATGGAGGAAATACGAGCCATCAACACCTCTCACAGTGTACCCTAACACTTTCGTCATGCCTAAGAGCTATTTCGAGGCGGCAGCCGATGGGCGCTTCATTTCCGCCCATATGTCAGTGTAGACTGCACCTTCCAGGGACCCGACGAAAACTGCTTTTCAAATTAATCCAAACCTTCTTTGACTGGACGCAGTTCGTCCAAGGGGCTCAGTGAACTTCGCACTTCTGCCTCTTGCTGTCGTCAACCTGAACGGCCAAGATATCACGGCTGGCTCGATGAATCTCCATATTGAGTGAAGACCTCGAGTACTGACCTTCAGCGTAGCTTTAGCCTCTGCACTTCCAGCGCTATTCTCAGCAGTTACTCGAACCGTACCGCTTTGTGAGATTTGAGGCTTGTAGATACGTATTGACGTCTTTCCAGTCTCTTCCTCGAATTTCACCTTGATTTCTTCGCTGCTTTCTATCTTCTTGTCGTTGAGATACCATGTGATCTGGAATGGATGAGCCGATCATGTTCTCGCAAAGTCTTCTTATAAGCGTTTTTCGAAGTTTCGGGAAGCAGTAATTACGTCGAAATGACTATGGCGGAGTCACGGCCTACATGCGGCCTGCAATGTTGGCGCACACACTCATTCTTATGGAGGTTCGCGCGCAAATGATGGGCTTGACTGCCGCCCACACGGTCCAGCGTTGGGACTGTCCTTTCAGCATCAAGTATCCTTGCAGGTCTGGTCTGGCTTGTGCAGCAGCCCCGATGGAATATGAACATGATCACGAATGGATACATAAGGACAATCGTATCACCTTAGGAGTGGGCACTCCGGTCACTATAGCGCTAAACTTCACGCTATCCTCATCGGTGTACACGTCGTGATTTTGAGGTGTCTTAGTGAATTCGGGCTTGTTTGTTCCTTTTTCAACGACGATCTGAATAAAGACGCGAAATTGAAACAACTTACTTACTTACTAAGCCGGCGAAGACAAAAGCCGGTCAAGAGGTCCCGATTACGGCGACGCGACGTTTCAAATGATGTCGCGCACGCGATCGAAGCACCATGCAGGCGCAAGAAGGACAAGGCGTCAAGCCATCGCCTCCTTCCTCAGCGACCTACGCACGCGGGACGTCGGGCACGTGGATCTCCTGACCGACATCCAACAATAGATCATACCTTCCCGGAGCATTCACATGCTCCCACTGGATTAACAGGCCTTTACGATTACCGCTCCGGCTTGGTCTTCCCTGATATGTTCGATTAGTGAGTGAGTGAGTGAGTGCCCGTTTCCATCATCGGTGAGCTGAATTCTCATTTTAGGCTCTCAAAGAAAGAAAAATCAAATATTCACACACTTTAGAATAAAAGTAAAAAAAATAAAACTAAATACTAAAATAGTAATAGAACGATAGAAATAAGGCGCAGTTTGTTTGGTGGGGGTACCGAATGGCACTGAGCCAAGCCTGTAAGGATACCTTGTGAAAACCTGTAAAGTCCTGTGATCAAACTGGCTCACTCGCAGCTTCACAGGAGTTTACAGGTCTCACCAAGATGGGACCCGTTGTTAAACCCGAACTGACACATGCCCCTTCCAAGCCAAACAAGCTCCTCAAAATATTACACTATATGCAGCGAGCATAAGACTTTTACTTTTATATTTCGGAGAATATTCTATCAGCGGACATCACAGTTTTAAATCAGGATACCTGCTCAGGGAGGGGAACGGCCACTGTTGCGTCTGTTATATCTTCTAGTGCCCCGTCTTGGTAAACAGTAGAAAGAATGGACATTACCAATGGAGCTAAAGCCACAAAGGGAGCTTGCCCCCCTCCACCATACGATTAGCGTAGACTGTGCATTCAAGAGCTAATGAATCTTACCTTAACATCTGGAGATTCTTGCATTTCCTTGCCGTTGACGTACCACGTGACGGTGGTGTTTGGCTGAGGAGTGTCGAGAGTCACGGAAAGTTGTAACTGCTCGTTCTCCTTGACGTTTTGTGAAGTGAATTGACTCTTGAATGTTGGTGGGACCAATGCTTGTTCGACCTGGAATTGAACCCTTTTTGATAAAAAATCATGGTTATGCAAGAAGGAACTTTGCCCCAGGGTCCACTTACCCGTAGTTCGGCAGTACTCGTGTCGGTGCCCACAGCGTTTGTCGCTTCAACTTTGACCGTACCGCTGGAACTGGTGGTAGCTTCGGTGATTCGTAGAGAGTATTCGCTTTCGAATCGGCACGTCTTCACAGTGCTGCTTTCTTCGACTAATTTATCGTTGATTAGCCATTTAACGTCTGGTTCGGGATAACCGTTGACCTTGACCTGAATATTGGCAAAATTATGGTGGTAATTTCATGGTACAGCCTGATTAGAGGCCCCGTTGGGATAAGCCAGATCAAGGAATCAACACTTCAATTCAGGTAGGCGCAGCGAAAGTTCTAAAGATTTGGCGCTAATGTACGTTGTCTACCTGTCAGGAGATAGATAAGGTGTCATGACGTCACCTAACACGTTAATGACGTGTTTTGAGACGTCATTGACAGTACTGCGGCACTCTTAACAAGTAACGGACCTGCACTACACCTGCGCCAGTGATTTTCCTCTGAATTTTCTTTTACGTATACGAAGAGAATGTCTTGAAGGCTCTAAGGGATATTGATGAAACCAATATAAATTAATAATAAATTAAAAATATTAGATAACAAATAATGTTACGGATTAATAGAGGTCTAATGCTAGCTAATAAATACCAGTAGATCTGCGGTTTGCTCTTTTCTCGAACAACTGTCGAGACATGTTACTACGTACTGGGCATAAAAACCTGCAGTTTAAGCCATTGATCCAGCTTTACCTAGAGCTGTTAAACCGCTGAACGATCGATAACCGTACCTTGAATTCGGCGGTTTCCTTCTCCGTGATGGTGACACTCTTCGGTCCTTCGGTAATCTGTGGAGCAGTGGATTTGGGAGTAACCGTAATCTGTGACGATGACTCTACCGTACCAGCTTCGTTGACAGTGACTACGGTAACTGAAACACAGCCAAGTTCTTCATGATCAGCAATGTGTTGTTTACCACTGCAATGCGAAGCGAAAAGACTGCATTGCCTTGGCGTCTACAATCTCGGGAGAAAGAGTGGGGGGGGCGGCGAGAATCACGAGGACTACTGCACGAAAACAATGGTGATTTTCAAAGGAGATGGCGCGACCTTCGCCTGAGCCAGGAAGAATGGGAGCTTCGTGCTTCGGGACGATCGCATCAGCCCAGTTTCTCCACAGGGCATCAGCCCAGGTTCTCCACAGGAGTCCTTTCAATGCCCCTCCTCACTCCCACCCTCCACCCCCAAGGTTATTAAAATCTATTTCGATATAGCACTTACGTTTTCCGCTGTGGGACGGTTCGGCTTTGTCGATTGTCAGCGAAGACTTGTCACCATCGACTGTAATATGTACGCCGTCTTTGCCATCCTGAAATTACAACTGAGTAATGTGCATGGAGATGAATAGTAAATCAAATTTATCAATTTGAAAACGCCAAAAGCGGAAAGTAGTTATGATAGGTCTGCACTTCGGCGAAAGGAAGTGGAATTGGTCAAGAGAATTCCCTGCCGTTTTCAGCCGCGTCGGCTAGGATACTCAAAGAAGTGGAAAAAACCTACAAAAAAAAATAAAATAATTAATAACGGGATAACGTAAGCAGCGGCAGGCGTCGCTATGGGAAAATTTTCCGCAAACACGATCACTCTGAATCGCCTCCTCTGGTACGTCTCCCCTTGTCACCATTCCTCCATCCTGCTAAGCCTGAACTTTTACCCAACTTTTTATGCACACTTTTCCAGAGTTAAAATTTAGTCCAAAATTGTCGTCGAGCACGAGCGGAATGGGGACTTCCTTTGCGACCACTTACGACCCCCCTCTCACTGGGGTTACGCAACGTGTCCTGAACATGTCCTGGACCACTGATAAATCATGATCCCCGATGGAAATTCATCTCTCAAGTTACCTAGGAGAGCCTAAGGCTTGTTTCCTATAACCGTTTCCCCACGAACTCAACAAAGTGGTTTGACTAGCCCTCTCAATTTCCTCCTTCACTCTATTTATTGACATTTTCGCATTAAGAGATAGGCATAGCCTCTGTCCCAGTGGTCCCTGTGGCCATTGCTTGCATCGTTAGACTATGTGAGTTGGCCGCTCTTGTAGTATGCGCGTTCGCACAAATCGCTAAAACGTTGAAGGGCATCTGGATCTATTCAGAGCCCCTTCCCGTGTGGGCTTCTCCCATGCACTTTTCTCCCATTTGTCACTTTTTCAACAGGATCAGTTGCCGACATCATATTAATCATGCGCTCAGAGCTTTTTTGGACGCTCGCCCACATGTGGCCTTGTTCTCGACGTTCTTCCTCGTCTAACCAGAAGAACGACAACACTAAAAACACCTCCCACTCGCTGGCTCCGCCTACAGTGTAGGAGAATCCGCTGAGTTCAACCTCATCGGCATCAGCTATAATATAACTATGAGGTTTTTATTGCCAGATGGGCTTGGCTAGACTGGAATAACATAAGCATCGCGATATGCGAACAGGTGATGTCAGTACGACCCCCTCCCACCTCGCCTGAAACGACTTCCTCAGTTTTCAAAATTTTGCCATTTTTTTGAGAACCTGCCGTCGGCTGGGAAGGGGGAGGAATGCCCTTAATGACAGTAATAATAACAATTCGGCTAATAGAAACAGAAGTTGTATATCACTTTGACGGCACCCAACCAGGGATGGGGAGAGTACAGCGTACATGAAACGGAAAAAATTGGGGAACTTAACAATCGGAAAAAGCCGTAGTAGTATCTGGCGGCCAGAAAAGCCAGATACGACTTCCAGCGACCAAGTACCACTCCCTGACCCCCTCTCTCCCTGGTTGGACAGAGATATAACAACAATTGTCTCAAAATGACAACACCCCTCCAGAAGCATATTCGACTTTACTTTGAAATGAGGTACGCAGCCACGCCTTCCCCGTCTTCGAGATATGAAGTGTATACAAAGACAAGTTAGTGTAGCTAGTATAACCGCCAGTACCTCAAGTGTTTGTCCATTTATCATCCATTTGAACTGTGGGCTGCCTTTAGCGGCTACATCAACCTTAATAGGTTCGCCCAATGTTGCTTGAATATCCTTCAATTGTTCTGTGAGTTCTGGCTTTTCGATGACTTTCATTTCGCATCTGAAATTAGAGCGATTCGTAGCAGTTCGGTCAAATGCTAAAGAACCAGTGAAAAAACTTACTTTGTCTCTACTGAGCCGGTTTCGTTCGACGCTTTAACGGAGATCGTACCCGTTGGATACACTGATGAGTCGATCGTTAATTTATATACATATTTCGTCTCCTCAACGATTTTCACTCCTGAAAACAGTTCGGCCCATTAATTTCCGTCAGAGCGGTGTTAAGACTTCGCGGTATCGCGCGTCGACGCGCTGTGACGCGCCATAACACGCGTCGACGCGCTACAATTCAACAGCGATATAATGCTAGAGACGCGAACGCAGCCGCAGACAGGAATCGGTCGACGCCGGCTGCTCGTATATTGAGAGAGTATAAGGAGGGAACAGAGGGGAGGAAACGCGTTGCCCAATCGCACAATCTGGTATCGATCGGCACTAGCCGCTAGGGTTTTGGGAGAGTACCGGATCGTGTGAAGGGAGCCTCTGCCCTCCTGTTGTCCTACACTCTCTCCAAACACAAGCGGCGACACCACTCGATTCCCGCCTGCGGCTACATAGGATTGGAGCGCTATTGCAATTGTAGCGCGTCGACGAGCACTATCGCGAAGTCTGAACGCTACCTTAGTAACGCTCGACTACCATAATCGCGTCTTACTGTAGCTCACCTTCAGTCGTCATTTTCAATTCGGTGCCATTATGGTACCATCGGGTGTCGGTGGCATGTTCGATGACGACCTCAAAGCGGCCCTGCTCGCCCTTCACAACTGTCTGATCTTTGAGATCCCGCATGATCTTGGGCATCTGTAAAGGGAACATTTAAGTGTTAGACGATTCCTAGTCAGTACGACCTTCAGATGAGCCTCGGCCTGTACAGGACTCAGTAACTGGTGTACTGTAAAATCTGTATGGTTGTTAGGACCGTTGCAACTGAACTTTCAACGCCAACCACGTAAGTAAAGCTGTCTAGG